TCCAGCCCCAGGACTCAAGTAAACGCTGGCTTTAATTTCAAATCACATCCCCTGCCCCTAATCAGAGAGGATCAGCAGAGATGGAGGACCCAAGGAACACTAGTATCTGAAGGGTGGGAATCTGAAGCCAAGACTGATTGTGGGAAATTATGGGAATCAGGAAAGGAGGAAGTGAAGCAGAATGGGGGGATGGAGGGAGTGAAGGGATGGCAAGGAGCTGAGCTAGGCAGGATTAAAAATCAGAACCTGGCCAGGTGCGGTGTCTCACGCCTGTAATCCCAACATTTTGGGGGCTGAGGCAGGCGGATCATGAGGTCAAGAAATCGAGACCATCCTGGGCCAACATGGTGAAACCCCGTCTCTACTAAAAGTACAAAAATTAGCCGGGCGTGGTGACAGCGCACCTGTAATCCCAGCTACTAGGGGGTGCTGAGGCAGAAGAAATGCTTGAACCTGGGATGTGGAGGCTGAAGTGGGCCAAAATCGTGCCACTGCACTCCAGCCTGGGCAACAGAGCAAGATTCCATCTCAAAAAAAAAAAAAAACAAAACAAAAAAAAAACAAAAAACAGAACCTTGGGAAGTATCCAGAAGGGAACTGTCCTTAACACCATAAAAACCCTAGAAGAAAACTTGGCAAAACCATTCAGGACATAGGCATTGGCAAGGACTTCGTGACTAAAACGCCAAAAGCAATGGCAACAAAAGCCAAAATAGACAAATGGGATCGAATTAAACTCCAGCAAAAGAAACAATCATTAGAGTGAACCGGCAACCAACAGAATGGGAAAAAATTTTTGCAATCTACCCATCTCAATAAGGGCTAATATCCAGAATCCACAAAGAACTAAAACAGATTTACAAGAAAAAAACAAATAAACCCATTCAAAAGTGGATGAAGGATATGAACAGACACTTTACAAAAAAAGACATATATGAGGCCAACAAATATATGAAAAAATGCTCATCATCACTGGTCATTAGAGAAATGCAAATCAAAACCACATTGAGATACCATCTCATGCCAGTTAGAATGGTGATCATTAAAAAGTCTGGAGACAACAGATGCTGGAGAGGATGTGGAGAAATAGGAACACTTTTACACTGTTGGTGGGAGTGTAAATTAGTTCAACCATTGTGGAAGACAGTGTGGCGATTCCTCAAGGACCTAGAAATAGAAATTCCATTTGACCCAGCAATCCCATTACTGGGTATATAACCAAATGATTGCAAATCGTTTATTATAAAGACACATGCACATATTTGTTCATTGTGGCACTGCTTACAATAGCAAAGACCTGGAACCAACCCAAATGTCCATCAATGATAGACTGGACAAGGAAACTGTGGCACGTATACACCATGGAATACTATGCAGCCATAAAAAATGATGAGTTTGTGTCCTT